GTCACGTGTTCAGGGGTGCCCGGCTTTTGACATGTGGGTTTTGAGAGCGTGTCTCTTCCTTTTGTGGTGTTACAGAGAGCATGCTTTTGTCATCTACGAAGCTCACGCTACCAAGCCACAGCCCATTTACAAAACAGCTCATACTTAGTGCTTTGTTTTATTCACAAATATTTACATTTATTTTGTGTGGGTACATGTGTGCCCTGGTACACGTGGAGGTAAGGACAACACTTCTTCCGCCACATGGGCTCCTGAGGGCAGAACTCAGCTCCAGCTTGACATTCTTTACACTAAACTGGCTCGCTAGCCAATCATACACACACACACACACACACACACACACACACACATATATATGGATGTATGTGCACATGGATACATGCATGCTTATTTGTGTGTGCACATGGAGGCAAAAAGACAATCTTGGGTTCATCCCTGGGAATCTTGTTCACCTCCTTTGAGGTAGTGTCTCTCTCATTGGCCTGAGCTCAGCAGCTAGACCACACTCCTGGCCTGTGAATCCCTGGGATCTGCCTCCCGCCACCACCTGGATGCTGGGGCTTGAACTCAGGTGAAGCCAGTGCTTTACTGATTGCTCCACCCCCCACCCCCCAATGGTTTTAGTAGTTTCTGACTTTGGGTTGGACTGCATTAATAGCTGTCCTGGGCCACATGTGGCCATGGGCTGGACACCCGAGCTCCTAGGAACTCTCCTAGGAAGGAAGGAGCCACTTTCTTAGTCCTTGTGTTTCCAGCCTCTGTCTGCAACACGGCAACAAGGCAACTGAGCTCAGGGCGCCAGGCTCTGTGGCACGTACCTTTACCTGCTGTGTATGTACAAGCGTGGCAGCCCGGTGTCACGCCAGCATCTTTTCTTGCACGCAGTACCTTTCGAGATGGGTTCCTTCCTTAACCTACTGCCGAGCGCTGCCCCCTGGCTTTCTCAAGGCTGCCAGCGATCAAACCTGGATCTTATGCTTACACTCCACCCACAAACCATCTCCCTCGCCCCTGGCTTTCTTTAAGTTTTCTGAAACAGGGTCTCACTACGCAGCTGTGGTTGGCTCCGTAGCGTTTTCCCAGGCACTGGCCTGTGACTGGTGCGGCAGTGCAGCCGCAGGTCAGATTTTGGACTGCAGGCAGGTGCTGCCCTCTGCTGGCTAGACTGTGAACCTGGGGGAGGCAGAGAAGTGGGCCCTGTAAAGAAGGAGGTCTCGCTTGAGGCTGTGCTTGGCAACAGAGGACAAGGGTACTCCTTCCTAGAGAGACAGCCCCCTGCCTCTTCTCTCTGCTCAGCCGTGAGTCTTAGTTTTTCTTTCTTACCTCAGGACGTGGAGCCCTCTTCACCTGCTGCCCTGGCTGGCCTGTGTCCCTACACAGACTATGTGGTTGGCTCTGACCAGATTCTGCAGGAGGTAAGGAACCCGTGGCGTCTGTTTCCAGGCCCCCTGAAGGGTCGTGGACAGATGTGTTGTGCATAGGTGTCTCATTTGAGGCTTCCAGGCCAGCGCTGGAGCAGCCCTCAGACACTGTGTTTCTCCTAGTCTGAAGACTTCTTTTCACTCATTGAATCCCATGAGGGGAAGCCCCTGAAGCTGATGGTGTATAATTCTGAGTCCGACTCCTGCCGGGAGGTGACTGTGACTCCCAATGCAGCCTGGGGTGGAGAGGGCAGGTACTTCCTGGGGTCACAGGGCTACAGGGCTTGATGGGTGGGCTGGTCCAGTGGGCTTGGGCTTCTGGCATCCCTTGGAGGAGATGGAGCTGTACCCCAGAGTCCTGAGGTTCATCCCTGCCCAGGAGTGTCCTTGCTCAGACATGGTTGTGGGTGGGGGTGGTATAGGTAGGGAGGGCTGTGTCGTGGACAGTCCTGATTGAATGTCTCCGGTCTTCCATAGTCTGGGGTGTGGTATCGGTTATGGGTATCTACACCGAATCCCAACACAGCCCTCCGGCCACTACAAGAAGCCAGCCGGGACCTCATCATCTGGTACTCCAGCAGCTAATACGCCACAACCTAGTGACTTGCCTCTTGGTACCCCACCACCATGGCCCATCCTTCAAGACTCTTCCAGCCCAGAGTTGGGTTCCAGGCACAGTGACTACACAGAGGTATGTGGGGAGCACCTGTCATGGCAGGGATGGGAGGAGTTTCTGGGGCAGCCTCCCCTTGGGCCTGGAGGAGGCCCGTCTGCCCCGGTATGCAGTAGAATGGGTTCAGGGAGGCACACTTTTGACTCAGTTGCCCTGGGAGGAGAGATGAGGCCCTGGTGGTCATTTTGTGAGTGGGAAATCGAGACCCTGAAATGGACAGAACCTTGTGCTGCAGTGAGGGAGGGACAGCCAGGACAGTGGCGGACACATTAGAATGCATGGTCCCCATGTACCTGGATTCAAGTGAGGCTCAGGGAGTATTCCCAGGTATTTGTGGATACCCCCCTGAGTGTCAGAAACCTTTCTCAGTGTGTCTGTTGCAGGGAGGATCTGGCCTGACCCCACCACTCACAGAAACCCAGGGTGATTTTTATGGTGCCAGGGTGGGGCCGGGGTAGGGTCGGGGTGGGGCTGGAGTGGGCCGCACCTGTTTGGACACCTGTTTCTTTTTTTTTCTTTAAATATTTATTTATTTATTATGTATACAATATTCTGTCTGTGTGTATGCCTGCACCAGACCCCATTACAAATGGTTGTGAGCCACCATGTGGTTGCTGGGAATTGAACTCAGGACCTTTGGAAGAGCAGGCAATGCTCTTAACCTCTGAGCCATCTCTTCAGCCCTGGACACCTGTTTCTATATTGAGTTTTTATTGGCACTGTCTTAACTCCCAATTTCTTCCTGGCATCTCTAGGCCCTGCCACAGGTCCCTGGTGGCTTCACGGAAGGGCAGCTCCTTGGTCCTGAGAGTTCTAGCCATGGTGCTGCTGACTTTGGGGGATGCCCACGTTCCATGGAGATCCCCCTTCAGCCTCCACCTCCAGTGCAGCGGGTCATGGACCCAGGTATGGGACGGGCTCGGGGGAGACTGAGGCACCTGGAGCCCTGGTGCTGAAGTAGGCTGCAGGCTCAGGGTTACACTGTGTAGCAGTGCCCCAACTTTCCTCAGTACCTGCTAACCTGTGTCATCAAGTCAAGGGTAGACAGACAGAGGCAGAGAAGGGGGGTCTGGGCCCATTGCCATGGTGCTACCCCACGATGTTCAACTCTTTTGCCCCTCAGGGACAGCCTCCATGGGGTTTGGTGGAGGGTATTGGTTAGTTAAGTTAGGTGTTCTGGGAACATGGCAGGGGGAGACAGGCTCCCAGATTCCCAGAGAACTGAGCTGCTCTCTTCCCCAGGCTTCCTGGATGTGTCGGGGATGTCTCTCCTGGACAGCAGCAACACCAGTGTGTGCCCCAGCCTGTCATCCTCTGCAGTGCTGACCCCCACAGCTCTCTCGGCCTCAGGACCAGAGGACATGGGTTCCAGTAGCAGTTCGCATGAGCGGGGTGGTGAGTGACCTTCAGTGACGCCCCGAGAAACCCTGGGTTTGGGGAGGGCTGCCCTGAGATTCAAAGGTGGGTTAGGGGTTTACATGCTTGGCTTCTAACCTCCACCACAGCCTGACTGCAGGGGAGTGATCGCTGAGCTTGGGCCTCCTCGGCCCCACTCTGTTTCAGGGGAAGCCACATGGTCAGGTTCCGAGTTTGAGATCTCCTTCCCGGACAGTCCCGGTGCCCAGGCCCAGGACCACCTGCCCCAGCTGACTCTCCCTGACGGACTCACCTCTGCGTCCTCACCAGATGGGCTGTCTGCAGAGCTGCTGGAGGCACAAACTGAGGAGCCAGCAGACACAGAGACCGAGGGGGTCGCCTCAGAACCACAGCCTGGGCTGTGAGAAGGGTCCCGTGACCTTTGGTGTTGCTTAGCTTATCTGTGTAGCTCCCAGAGGCATGGGCTTTACCCCTGTACTTGGTCCTGGACTGAAGGGGCAGGGAGGCTGGGAACAACAGCATTGAAGCCTCATGGGTAGGGAGAGGCAGCAAGGCCTGATCTTGAATGAGTGTGAAGATGAGGGACAAGAGAGGCTATGTCTTCCAGCAGCCCCCCACCCCGTACTGAGGTGGGACTCCAAGTCCCAGGGCCCTCCCTTCCCATTCTAATCCTTACGCTGGAGGAGAGAGGTGTATACTTGGATACTTTCTTCTCAAGTTGGAAAAGGCCCTTCTCAGGGATCTACCTGTGCTGGTGACACCTTCCCCTCCCCACAGGAGGGCACACACTCTAGCTGTGGTGTCCCGTGACCCCTCCTACCAGGCCCCACATACGGACAACTGCCTGAGTGCAGAAGGTATTCAGCCAGGTCTGATGGCTCATGGAAACCCCTCTACCTCTTTGCTACAGAGACCAAGTGAGAGTGGGTATAGGCCTTCTGTCTGTCCTTAGCATGAGGGAAACTGTCCCGAAAACTCCAGGTGCCTTGAGTTTAGAGGCTAAGGCTAGGGGAGGTTGTGGGCTCTGCTGGTTTTCTACAGGTGGTGCCAGGCATGTCCTCTGCAGCTCCGGTCTCTGTATCATCACTGTAAGCGGCCTTTGGTCGTTTCCCATCTGTGGCCACAGACCGCATGTAACTCTACATACAGGGCACTGTGCTCGGAAGCACCAGCCCAACAATGCAGTGAGCAGGTCCCAGATGGGCAAACACTAAGCCCCAAGCACTCGGAATACATTTATAGCCAGGCCTATGAGGGAGGCATCCCAGGGCCTCTTGGTGAGTGCCAGGAATGTGGGCACACAACAGGGTCACCGCCACAGGGCTGCTCTGGGGCCACCTCACCTTAGCTCTGCAGCTGGGCGCTCTGACCCCTGGTTGCCCTAACTGGAAGGTTCTGTTCCCTGAGAGACCCCATCAGCAGGTTAAGATGGATGCTGAGGATGTTTCAAATCTGAAGCCTAGGTGTTTCCCCGTAGTCTGCGGTGAAGGAAAACGACAAGTGGAAAATAAATTTGTCAGACACTGAAGTATTTTAACTAAAGCTTTATTCTAAACAACCTGAAATACAGACTCTGACCCTTTCGGCATTGCAGACTGTCCAATTTTCTGGAAACTTATTACTTATTTTGACTAGAGGGGAAAAGAAAGTACAACCATGCTGGGAGGTAAAATCCACCGCAGGGCCACAGCTGCTCACGGCTCAGTGCTGGGCCATAACCAGTAAAAGCCTTAGTGCAGAGGCCCTTCCTACAAACATTGCTGAGGGCTATCCCTTGATTTAGTTCATGAAAGTCACTAAAACCACACACCCCGAGTGTACTGTTGTGTCTAACAGACAAAAAGGAGTTCGGTAAAAAGGCCGTCAGTTGCTCTGAGGGAGAACACTTTAACGCCTGGGAAATGTCTTTCTCACTTGAAGGTGTGGAAGCCATGGCATGTCTGTGCTCCACAGTTAGCAGTAAGGGGACCCTGTTCTGCAGTTGTGCCGATCAATGCCTCAACTTGTAAGGAACAGACCTGGACCCATCGGCTGCCCCCAGCCAAGCCGGTGAAGATGTAGAAAAGCGAGCCCTCCCCAGTCCCTGCTCCTGTGGGGGACAGGCCACACGTGGTAGGGAGGCCACTGGACTGGGATAAACTGCCCCTGAAGGCACTTGTGCTTCTGGCTTTGTTCAAGGCTCGTCTTCTGGAGTGGGGTGGATGGGACCACTGATCTATCTGAACAAGAATGGCCTTGGGAAGAATCCAAAGAATTTTCTGCCAAAGTCGAAGTGTTTATCCCCAATAAGTTAATATTCTGTACAAGATCCAAGTGAGTCTATGAAAGCTTTTGATTGTTAGAAAGACAGAGGAAAGATCTGGACGCAGGTATAACAAAAGCCCGCATATAAAACTGGAAAAACAAACATGGACCACGATAGAAATATCAAACCAACTCACTGTGAGATCTCTTTACTCTAATAACATAAACTCTAGGTAGCATTTGAATGAAACTGAAACTTCAGCATGGCCTTAGTTTTGACAGTGCCATGCTGCTCTCCCAGGGCAAGAAGCTGTGGCTCCCGCTGGCTCTGCCTGTGAGGAAGACTGGGCACTGGAGAAAAAAGAATGGCCACAGCTGCTTGGGCTGTTGTGCGGCCAGGTGACTGGGGCAGTACTTCACTACACAGGCTGCTGCCTGCAAGTCCGAGTACTGTGCCCTAGCCTTGGAGTGGCAGGTCTTCCTACGGAGCATAGCTGAGATTCGTATTTCAAAAGTAGCCCAACATGGCCATTTCTCCTGAAATGGGCTGGCTCTTGAACTGCGCAGCAGTGACGGTTCCCATTAGAAATAACTCTTACATGATGATGAAAACAACTTTTGTTCTCTGTAATGACAAATTTGGAAAAAGCCTTCATAGGTACTGCATGAGTGGAATGTACTTAGAAAAGCTGCAGAACTCATGGGTTTGAAACTGAAACGCGCTGACAGATGGCCCCGCTGATGTTCTCTACCAAGTGCTAAGAGACAGGTGGGTCCTTCAAGGAGCCAACTCTGCACTGGCCTGTTGCAGGTTCTCTGTACATCTCGAAGGACAGTGCCTGGGGCTCGTCTGTCCTTGCACTGATCCCTGGGGACACCTTAACCTATGCATGGAGCCTGCTTCTATATTACATCTCGATTAGTCACGTCATCAAATCGGCCGGCGGAGCTCCTGCTCCCAGTAGGGCTTGGCGGGCTTCCTAGGACTACTCGGGGCCACAGAGGAAGGTTGATGAATAACCCAGGAGCACGGCCCACTCTTCACGTGGACTTCTGACGGTAATGGAGTGTGAGGTCTCCACCACTCTTCCATATGAAGTGCTTTACTGTTCGAAGGTCCATGTTTGGGTCCAAAACCTGAATAACCAAAGTGCATTGAAAACATTAAGGTCGTTAACAGCTAAAGGCATCCTTAAGCAGGGACTCTGCCAGGCCGAGCTTGCTCGCCACTGTGTCTGGATCCACCAGCAGCACCGGCTCAGCCCTGCGACACCCAGGACTTCTTGCTTCTAATTCCATCTCTTCTCCACCCACCTCCACCCCAAATTCTTTAACATGACAGATACCACCCTGCAAATCAAGATGACACTGCCTCTGGTAGCCAGGCACACTACAAACGTGGGCATCAAGTGTGCTGAAGGACTTTTCCGGGAGACACAGCGGGGAGGGACAGGCTCTTCAGAACCCCTGGAGGCCAACAGCCTAAGAATGTAGCAGGCGGTATTGGACTTTCTGGTTGTCTCTGCAGGGAGATGAAGTTATGCTCCTCAGGTCCACTCACCTGGTCCTGGCATAGAAGTTCAATTTTCTCCTCTGCCAACACAGCAATATCCTCTTCCTTCTCCTGCTCTGGCTTTTCGTTATTAGAAGAGCTGGTGGTCTGAGACTCATTGTCCAGGCTGATGATCTTCTCATAGACATGCTCCATCACCTTCCGGACCTGCAGCATGTCACTGGCAGAGAGTCTGTCTCTAGAAAAGACAATGACATGTTTTGACATCACGAAAAGTCTTACTATTTTTCATTGTGTCAACAACAAAAGTCACACAGACATCTAAAGTCAATATATGTTTTCAGTCATGGTCTTGATCCATTTGAGAGGCGTCAGAGAATCCTATGGTGCCCTCTAGGGCTCATGCACACACAATGGCTACCTGCATTTTACTCCAAGTACTGCCTGCAGCGAGGGCAGCCCTGGGTAGACCCACCAATTAACTACCCAGGGCTCAGTGTTACTTCCCACTGCTGTGCCTTCAACTAGAAGCAAACAACAAACACCCCAGGCTAGACACTAAGCTACAGCCTGTTCCAGACCACAAACCCAGCAGCTGGCTTGTCGTAAATTACACAACCGGAAGCCCTTTTTACTAAGCCCTCATCTCTGGTATGAATCAGTCATCAAACCTCTCAGCAAGGTTTAAACTCTTCACGGAGCCTGAAGTTCAGTCATTAAGTCTACTCGAAGTGATGTCTGCATCTTGCTATAAAGTGATCCAGTGTGTGCACGTGTGCACGCAGGCAGAGGTACAGATGGAACAGAACATTTAGCCGCGGGGAGGTCACTCCTGAAGTGTCTTGATTGGCCAGTGGGAACTGGTTCCTCTGTGTGAGCTCGCAGTCCTGCTGGCTACGCTAGCACACACACGCTCATCATGGTTTACAATTCCTTGCTAGACCTCAACCTCTCTGCCGTGAGCCTCTCTTGGAGCCACATCTACCTATCAGGAATTTCTGGTGGTATGTCATGGTGCCCATGCTCTGCGACCTGGCATACAATCAGTCATGAAACCCTTATCTAACCTGTCATGTGTTCCTACTCCACCCCGAGTGGGAACATGCACCCCCATACCCATTTTTGGTATCTTGAGGTTGCTTCTGCTTGGGAATTGTGTCTTTGGCAGTTCACCCATCTGTATGTGTTCAGGGGATTCCTTCTAGAAACCTCCTGGAAAGCTCTGCTCAGAAGCTGGTTATTTTCCCATTCTCATTCCTCCCTAAGTATCTGTAAAAGCAGCTACTACACACAGGTTTGTCCTAAATGGAATTGTGTGGTTTAGAGACAGTCTCCCATGGCCTTGAACTGATCCTCCTCCGCAGCCTCCTAAGGGCTGGGATTACAGGTGTGAGCCACTACATACGGCTGGCTTGGTCTCGGCTGGGCTGGAGCTTACTATATTGCCTCGGCTGGCCTCCTGCCTCTGCCTCCAAGTGCTGAGACTACAAAGGCATCATCAGCAATTATGGGCTAAGCTAAATTTTGGCATGAGACTAGGTCCATAATAACCAGCCTCCGATCTACCCTGTCTCCCTTGTTATGAAGCGACCATAGGCACAGAGGCATCTGCAGTGACTGGGATAAGGAAGCAATAGTTACTTACTTTTTTAAAGTTTTTGCTCCTGAAGATGCATGAGGTTGGAGGTAGAAAGGAATTTTGTTGAATTTGGGCATATTTTTCTGAAATATTAAAAGTTGAAGAGGTATAATACTTTCTATTAGCTGATAAAACTAAAATGCTGTCAATAGAAAAACAAGATTTACAAGTAGCTATTTTTACAATGACTTAATGTAATTTATAGTAAGTTATCAACTGAATGTGCCTTAAGAGAAAAATCTATCACCAAGTATGATGTTTAGTTTATAGTAAAAATAGATTAAGACAAATTATTTGCAATATTTGTGCCCAAAATAGGCTCTGTGGCATGACTTTTCTAAAATTATTATACAAGGCATTACAGGAAAACAAACCTAAAATTTTAAAGCTGTGTAAATCAAAACATTGGGGCTGACGACTAAAAGCCCAAACAGAAGCTTAAGCGTGCTGAGAGAGCCCGAGAGCCTTCACTTGCTGCGTGGGTGGCCATCACCAGTGGGGGCTTCTCCTGCCATCCCCCTGACAGAGAGAGAGGTCTACCATGAAGAAAATACCCATTCTCAAATGATGGCTGACATCATCTGGTCATCCTTCTCAGGGCATAAGCCATGCCACAGGGTCAGTAATGCATCCAGATGAGTTCTACATTCAGAGGAAGCAGTAGTTTATGGGAAGCTTGGACAGAGAAGGCCACAGGTGTAACATTGGCTTTAAGTTCTTGGGGTTGTATATCTGGGGTAGAAAAAAAATTTTCTAAAGCTTTAAGAGATTAAATCCCTTTTCATATGGCTTTAGGAATATACAAAATAGTCAAGAGGACGTAAGAAAGTCTAGAAACAGACTGAGCAGTGTCTACAGGAATTTAGTGCACGAACTGACACAGCCTTTCAGATCAGCAGATAAGACAGACTCCGCAGGCTGCACTGGCACAGAGTCTACCCTCACACCAAACAGAAGAATAAAACCGGGTTACAGAGCCAGACAGGAAAATGAGAAGGCACAAAGAGCCCAATTCTGGATTAGGAAATACCTAACAAAACACGGAAGAACCCAGAGCCATAACTTAATGTGATCACACAAAAACTAGGTTTCCGCCTGGGAAAGAACCTTGAACAAAGTAAAAGTTTAATGAAGGCACAGAGGAGTCAGGTTACTATGCAACAGAAGATCACCTCCAAGTCAGTCAGAGAATGACCGCATTAGAGGGACGGCAGAGAACACAGGCAGGCGACGGGGAGATGCAAATGGCCAATATGAAAAGACTCTTAACCTCACCATGAATAAATAAATTCCACATCAAAGTCATCACACAGTATTCACCTATCGTACAGCAGAGCTAAAGTGTCCAGTGTTGTGTGGCTGTGGGAACTGGACATCCGCACACTGGGCTCAGAAGTAAACTGCCTTTGTGAAGGGCAATTTGGCATTATCTATCAGAATTTAAAATATGCATACCCTTTGATCCAGCAATTCCACTTCTAGGAATTTACCCTAAAAAGCACACAATGTACAAGGACATTCACTGCAGCGCTGTTGGCAACAGAAAACATCCGAAACAACCCAAGTCCACTACTAAGGGGCTCATCAATAAAGAATCTACATTTACACAATAGAATAGGGTGCTGGCATTTAAAGGGAAAAGTCCACTGAGTACAGGCATGAACAGATGTCCAAGACACACTTTTAGTATAAAAAGTTGCAGAACATTCTGAGATTTTGTGCAGAACAAAATGAGCTATACACTTGCACATGCACACATAATATATGCTCCTGTAGGTGAAGAAAGTAGCCAAGGCTGCGTCAGCCTCCTAGTAGGTGCTGGTCTGAGAGGAGGGCGGGTGAAAGGTGGGGAGGGTGGATGGCAAGAGGTGGGCACTTCCCCCAAACACCAATCTTAGAATAAGCATATAGAATTATCATCATAACTGAATCCCGACAAATAAAAACTGATATGTAAACAATTATCAAATGCATCTACAACTTGAGAACTCCAGGAAAGCAGTGGGAGTCCATGACAGGTGACTTGTTACAGTTTAAGACTGTGCCGTCTACAACAGTCCTCAATGTCACAATCTGGGAAAAGTCAAAGGGCGAAGTGGGAGTGGGGGACACTTACATCCACAGTGATGTCAATTACCCATTGTGGTACTGTCTCATTGAGAAGCATCGCCTCAGTCTCGCCCCCGGAATCCCGGCAGAGCAGCCTAGACACAATCCATCAGGTAGTCAGCGTCATGACAAGGGGACAGCAGAGGAGGAACCCTCACAGTGCTCACTGAGGACAGCAGAGGTGGCAGTAGGTACAGCAGGGAGACTTGGGCCCTAATGAAGCTGCTTCTGAGTCTTGGGTCACCACAGGAAAGAAACATTCAGCATAGGGCCTAGCCAGTGCCATGGTGTCATGACTTCACCTGCATTGAGGGCTCTAGTTTGGTTACTATACTCAGGGGCAAGATAGACATCTTCCACATTTCTGACAACTATGCAACACTAGTGACACTTGCCCAGCCCCCACACCAGCTTTTCCTTTCCTGGAGGGTCCAGAGAGGACTTCCCCGGCAGCCCAGGTTGAGTCAGTGCAGTTAACAGTTCCCAGGAGCAGCCCAGCTATCTTGCCTGGCCCAGTTCCCTGTGGGCAGGAACTGCTATAATGCTTTCTGATCTCTGCCTGGCAGTCAGTAAGTGAGAGAAAGTACCAGCAGAGATGCTGCCTGGAGGCCGGAATCTGAGGGGAAGGGGGCTGTGACTCTTGCCTTGGCCCTCTGTCTCATCACTTACTGCCCCGGGCATTTAACGATTTCAAGCAGACAGAGAAGCCAACTTCAGACATTCTTACAAGTCAGTGACACTGCTCACATCTGAGCCAGCACTCCCTAGCGAAAGGGTTGGTCTATGATGCAAGGTCTTTCCCAGGCAGGCCTCTGGTCCTTCTCATCCATACCTGAACAGTGTACGACCTCCAGCTTCACCAAAGATCACAGGGGTGTGGGGGGGGCACTTGGAAATACCCATTTCCCTTCTGGACTCTGCTTTCCTGCTCCCCGCTCACTAGGAAAGACAGGCAGGCTGTTAGTGCTGAGACCACAGCTTCTCAACACTCATCACAACAGGTTGTAAACATAATCCTGGGGCTGGAAAGATGGCTCAGTGGTTAACAACACTGACTGCTCTTCCAGAGGACCCAGGTTAAGAACCAGCACCCACAACCATCTGTAACTCCAGTTTAGGGGACCCAATACCCTTTCTGGCCTTCATGGGCACTAGGCACACAGTGCTTCACATATACACTAGCAGGAAAACACTGATACATATCAAATTAAAAGTAAGTCAAAAAATTAAAAGATAAAAATCTTGTTACTTAAGAGTTAAAAAAAATTGATGGAGGAAGCTGGAAAGATGGCTCACAGATACGACTGCTCTTCCAGAGGACCTGAGTTTAATTCCCAGCACCCTGCAGCTCCAGGGGATATGATGCCTCTGTGTGGCCTTCACATACATCCCCACATATGGCATACACATATAAAAGTTTTTTAAATATTAAAAAGAACAATAAAGGCAAAAAGCAAACATTAAATTCCTGAAAATAAGAATTTAGTATTTTATATTGACTGTATTTTAGAGGATCTGATCAGAAGTCAGCATGTAACCACTGTAAACAGAGCCCCTTTGGAGGGTTTTAATAGAAGAGAAATGCAGCTGAGCCACTGCCTGCCCTGCACGCATGTGCCCTGCCAGCCTCCAGCCCCCTGTAAACCGAGCACAGTGGCACCACCTGTCATCCCAGCACTTGAGAGATATAGGTGGGAGGAGCTATGGCAACTGTGAGCTAGCCTGGACTACAAGAGACCTGTCCAAAAAAAGGAAAGAAAAGAAAAAAAAAAAAGAAAGGGAAGGGAAATATTATTTATAAATAGTTGTCTTGCCAGGCAGTGGTGGTGCACACCTTTAATCCCAGGACTTGGGAGGCAGAGGCATCTCTGGGAGTTTGAGGCCAGTCTGGTCTACAGCATGAGTTCTAGACAGCTAAAGCTACACAGAAAAAACCTGTCTTGAAAAATCAAACCAAACCAAACCAACCAAACAAACAACAAACCAGGAGTCTTAACTGCCCCCACACAGAAGGAACTGGTCATGTTTCTGTTTTGTTTTTGCAGGGATTAAAGGTGTGCACCCACCACCAAACAGCATGTTTCTGTTCTGAATATCAAACATGGGTTTTCGTTCACCCGTGAGAGCCACACCACACAGTGGTCTCATCTCTGCAAGTTGTCTCAGTCCACTGGACACTCACTCAGGTGCAGAAAGGAGACAATGAACCAGGCACACCTCAGATACATGTCACACTTCAGCACACTGTGTTAAGTACCCTTTGACCCCAAGCAACTCTTGCTTTTGTGAACATACACACTAACCGTGGTTGACTTCATTTTCTTCTTCGTCCATGGGAGTCACATGTGTTCTCGGCCAGTACTCCAGAAGTGCCTGTAGGAGGAGTCCTCCTAAGTTCACTGCAAGTTAACAGGAGAAACAGGGAGAGAGTGTGTGATCTCCAAGCTCAGACAGAGGAAGAGCAATGTTTGGATGTTACATCTGATGCTGGAGAAGCCAACTACAGGCAGGGCAGGCTATGAGCAGGGCAGATGCAGACCCCCAAAGGGAGAGCAGGTTCTCGGGAGAGGGGGCGGCATTTGAGTGCCTAAAGCATTCCACACTGTCTGAACTGATATTAAATACTTTTTTCTTTTCTTTGTGAGTTCAGCCTGGCCTTCGATCTCTCATCTTCTCTCTTCCTACTCCTAAGTCCAGGGATGACAGGGAGGTGCTTTCATGCTGAGGTGCGGATGCAGGGCTCAGCCCGACCTCCACTCTGAGATGCCGATGCAGGGGAACGGCTCTGCTCCTCAGGAGTCACTCTCCTGCCTGTCTGTACACAGGGTCCTACACGGTAGCTAAGGCTGCCCTGGAGCTCACGCTATTCTCCTGCCTCAGCCTCCTGAGTGCTGAGATCACTGGCATGAGTCACTATGCCTGGCTTAGCTATTCCTTAAAAACTAAATAACATGATGTTATTTACAGAGATACTCTCCTGACGCCGGCAACACTTTATCTGTACATATGTGCTGGTTTCTACACAGCAAATTCTTACAAGAATGCTGAGCGAAGACACAATGATCGTCCCATATGCTGGACAGTGATGGAACACACTTTTAGTTCCAGCACTCAGGAGGCAGAAGCAGTTTAATTTCTATGTTTAAGGCAGCCTGGTCTAAAGAATGAGTCTAGGACAGCCAGGGCTACACAGAAAAACCTTGTCTCAAACGGACAAAAAAACAAACAAAAAACCCCACACCAAACCACAACAAAAAAGGGGGGACACTACAAAGATGACTAGCCAGCAATCCCTGCCTAGCTCCACCTAACACTTAACTCACATTTTGGGTCTGAGCCGTCGGGACTGCTGAAGCCAGCGTCTTTTGCAGAAACCCAGGCAGCAAAGCAGTCACTTTCATCCAGAGTAATCGTCAGCATCTGCCAGAGACAACAACATCAGTGCACGCCCCCCTTCTGTAGCACCTGAACCTACGGCATCCACACACTAGACTAAGGCGTTAAGCCATGCTTCATGGGAATCAAGGCCGCTATGGCTCACATTATTCAAATGCCAGAAGCTTCAATGACAGTTTATTAACATGGGGGAAAAAGCAATTGCACATTACTTAAAAACACCAAACTCCATCAGAATAGTTAGGACGTGCTAGGGATCTGCAGTTATACAAAATTACACAAATACTGATTGCTAACTCACCCCTGTTTTCAGATCCACTGAGAACCAATTTGGAACATACACCATTTTAAATCTTTTCTTAATTTCGTCTTCGAAGTCCACTTTGCCCAAATCCTCCACCTTGCACGCCTGCCCAAGGAAAGCACAAGGGTCAGCATGGAGTAACGGGCCCACTGACGCTTCACTCTTCCAGATCTTAAACACTTGTTAAATAATTCTACAGTATACCTTAAGAACAGAGCTAATAAGCAGTGTGGTGCGCACCTTTAATCCAGCACCCGGGAGGCAGGGCAGGTGGATCTCTGTGAGTTCGAGGCCAGCCTGAATGCCAGGACAGGCCCCAAAGCTACATAGAGAAACCCTGTCTTGAACTCCTCCATTACCATAGAAGCCGATTTCTTTTATTCTAAGGTCTTTAAATAACTACCTGTTAGTAAAAATTTAAACTAATGAGCTGGAAGAGATGGCTCAGTGGTCTCCCTGGGAACCAGGCACACATGGTACCCAGACATGCATGCAAGCAAACACTCATACACATTGAATTTTTTTTAAAAAATTTTTTGAAATTGAAAATAATCTTTTCTGGGGGTGGGGCTGTAATTTAATTCTGCTAATACTAAACTGCCTTCACATTCACCTAGTGCCGCAGTCAGCTCCTCAGAGGCAGGCAGACATGGACTCTCCCAATGACCCAGGCAGAGCTTACACCATGGCAACACTCAAGCCACGGGGAAGCCTGTCCTTTACTGTACTGCACACACACTCCTGATGCAGATGCAGGCCAGCACCTCACCCCCAGACCATTCTCCTTTCCTCTCTGGAAACCCAAGTCCTGGTTCCACTCAGATGCAGTCATCTCAGGCTCTTGTCTTCATCTGAGCTAGAACAATGTTCACACGGAGAACACACAGGACACACTGCCCCTCATTACTCCACCGTCTCGGTCACATAAAGTCTCCAGCATAACAGACTATCCTGTTATCTGGAAGAGCATGGGAGTGCACAGGCAAGCGTGGACAGAAAACTTGTCTTTCCCCCAGCCCAAGAAAAAGGTGCCCTTCTGGGTGTGTTCCAGTCCTTCCTTCCTGGGAACCTGTATAGCTTTTGTTGTTGTTTTCCTCCTCCAAGTCAAGGTTTTTCTGTATAGTCCTGGCTGTCCTGGAACTCACTCTGTAGAGATCCACCTGCTCCTGCCCGCCCAGTGCTGGGATTAAAGGTGTGCATCAGTACCGCTGGCTTGCTGTGTCGTTCTGTCTAGTCTGGTGCGTCAGCCTACCCTGCGAACTGCGTGCTGTCTGCCCACGATAAGCTCACACCATTCTGTCCTGAGAGCTGGGCTGTCATCTTCTCCCTCTACCACTTCCCCCCACAGCAGAACCGAGGACACATCCTCATAACCTTTCTCCTTCACACTTTCCACTTTCTTTCTTCCCATCCTCTTTCCCACCCATTTTGCTGCAGCAGAATGGTTCCTGTGTGCTGAGCCCTGTGTTGCAGGGTTCTGAAATATGTATTTCACTAGGAAATGGGTAAAAGTCATTTTGGGGATGAAGTCATTGGTTTAGATAAGTCCAGCAGGTCATTTGACTGGCTACTGGCTACAGACTAGAACACAGCTCTGCCCATTCTTCCATGTCCCCAGACTTCCTTGTCTCTTTACCCCCTTAGGTTTAGAATACCAGATCACGTGACTTCAAACCTTTCAAGGTTCATTATCTGGACGTGGGAAGCTGTTCACACTAGCTCAGAGCTCCACCCAAGCAGAACTAGATCCCATTTGGACAGTAGCTTCTGCTGAGAACAGCTAACCAGACCAAGAGTGAGCAACAGAGCCACACACAGAAAACCAGTAGCTCAACTTTAAGAGATGCTGTTCTGACAAGACTCTTGGGTGCTGTGGAAACAGCGCAGGGCAGCATGACCTAGTGCTGCACTGGGGTGAGGTTAGGTAACCAGGGAAGAATCGAGCAGTTCTGCTGATGAGTGATTGAGGCTTCTCTGGATCCACTCAGTTACATGGGACCCCTCTGTGAAAGAAAGGGCAGGACAGAACACCCTCCCTACAGTCAATGAACTATCCAGCCTGAAATGCCAACAGCACAAAGGACAAGAACTCTGATGGACCCTTTCTAAAGCATCCACCCCAAATAAATCTTGATTGTCATGTACAGAGACGGAAAACTAGGGGAATGCACGGCTCCATAGCCACTGATCTCAAAGGCGCTCACCTTCAGCACGTCCCAGTACGCCACATTGTTATTTGTATCTTTGGTTAATATATGTCTCTTATCATTAAGGATGTGGCATTGAATGATACTAGCGCCACCTAAAGAAAAGAAAAAAGAACAATTGGTAAAAGAAAAAAAAACACTGCCTTTCTACTCATCCTTAGAAAGTGGCACATGTGTGTAGGCATAAATGCCATGGTGTACACGTGGTCAGGCGCCAACTCTGGAGTTGCTTCTCCTCTTCCACCTTTACACGGGCTCTGAGGATAGAATTCAAGCTGTCAGGCACGAGCAGCAAGTACTGGTCAGCGTGCCAGCCTGGCATGTGCTCTCGCGTCTCTCCGTCCTCTCCTTCAGTCCTCCTGACTAGTTTCTACCCATTCTTATCTAGCGGGAAGAGCTGTAGGAGGCTAACCCTGGAGCTAACATTACATAGACTTTATTTTCTCAGCTAGCCAAAGCATAGAATTTGAGGCTCACATCTGACTGTCTGGTGTGTGCCGAAAGACGAGAGGTATTTTACATGGCTATTGTATTACAGGGTAGGAGATGAACTCGAGAATGGTGCCAAAATACACACGGCACGAAGGTCTTTGGTATACTGAATGCAAAACTTGTCATGCCCTGTTTGCAGCAGACGGAACTGAAGACGTTGCGGCAAACACAGAACACCATAGCTGTCAGTCACACAGATCCAAACACACAAAGCCATCACTGAGTCTGGGAAGGTGGCAGAGGGAGACTGGATCTCCTCAGTGCACATGCAAGTACTGAAGCCCCACAGAAACCCCTGATCTGCACTATCCCAGACATCACTCAAAAAAAAAAAAAAAACCCACAACCACACCCCATGCATACGCATATGGCCTGCACTGATGGGACCCAGGAGGTGACTAAAGAAATCTTGCATGGGAATGTGCTGAGGGGTATCCAGGGAGCAGGAGAGATGACCTGGGAATGGACAGGATGAAGATACATGGTATACATGTAGAAACTGTCAAAGAACAAATCAAAAATATCCTTACCCCCCCCCCCCCCCCGCCATTTCTCATCCTAAGCACACGTCCCCAGCCGCACTGCAGTCAGAGGAAGGTGGTGCCTTTATTTCCACCTCTCTCTTGACCATACCTCACCACAAGTGCCTGCTGCTGTGGCCTTCTCACCTTTAATAACCTGGTCGGGCTGTGTGCAGAGGGGGGTTATGGGATTTGTACAGTCGTTGTCATAATCACCAGAGGCTCGGAAATTATGAATTCCCTTCAGCGTCTAAAGGAACAAGATTATCATGTCATCACTTTATGCTCTCCGGCTTGTCACTCCGAGCCAAGTGAGGAGACTGACAGCCACAGAAGCAGCAACCGCTCAGGGGTCACAGCTGATCAGAGCACACTGTCACAGCAGGGAACCACAGGGTCAAACAGCAAGAAATCCCCAGCAAACAGTAATGAGGGAATGGTTTTTAGGAAGAAAAAGACAATGAAAACAAAAACAAAACCCAAGGCTCCATACGCTCATGAATTTGAACACATGGTCCTCAGTTAGTGGAACTCTTTAAGAAGAATTAGGAAGTGTGGCTTTGTTTGAGTATAAGTGTCACTGGGGGTGGGCCTTGAAGTTTCCAAAGCCTGTGCTAGGCCCACTCTCTCTGTCTTCAACTTTTAGACCAGATGCGCACTCTCAGCCACATGTGCCATACCTGCCTGGTACTACATTCCCTGCCACAATAGTTGTGGTAGTCGGAATGCAATTGGCCCTGATAAACTCATAGGGAGAGCACTATTAGGTGTGGCTTTGTTGGAGAAAGTGTGTCACTGTGGAGGCAGGCCTTGTTAAGCCACACCCAGTGAGACAGTCCACACCCCGTGGCCTTCTGATGAAGACAGAGTCTGCAACAAGCCTGCCTGCACACTGCCTCCCTCCCTCTAGATGATAATGGACCTCTGAGACTGCCAGTGAGCCACTCCAATGAAATATTTCCTTTGTAAGAGTTGCCATGGTAACTGGGTGGTGGTGGCGCACACCTTTAAACCTAGCACTAGAGAGGCAGAGGCAGATGCATCTTTGTGAGTTTGAGGCCAGCCTGGTCCAGAACATGAGTTCTAGGACAGAGAAACCATGTCTCAAAAAACCAAACCAACCAACAAACAAACAAAAAAAGAGTTGCCATGGTCATGGTGTCTCCTCTAAGCAACAGAAACCCTAACCAAAATAATGGTCATGGACTAACCTCTTGAAACTTAAGTAAGCTTCCAATTAAATGCTTTCTGCTGTAGGCTGACCTGGTGTTTATCACAGCAACAGAACAGAAACTAAGCCCCAAGCAGGGCAGTATTCCAGCAAAGACTATCACTGACGGGCACAGAACAGGCACACAAGCTGACCTGCACGCAAATCCTTTCCGCTAGCTCCCAGAGTCAGCTATGCAAGGAAGCTCAACTCCTTCAGTCAGACCTGGCTGCCCGATCTCCTTCTACCCCTGCTCTCCATGCTCCTGCTCTATTACCTTTAGAAAAATGGGTATATGGTCTGTCTTCTTCATTCCTTTTGTGTTTAACTGAAGCAGTCAGCGTCTTGCTATGTAGCTCAGGCTGGCCTTGAATGTGCAGCATTCTGACCTGTCAGTCTCCCAAGTGCTGGGCTATAGCTGTGCGCCATCGCACAGCCACTCTCAGGTGCAGCTTAGAGGCTGGCAGCCGTCTACCACGGACAGCTGCAATCAGGCACCAGCTCTTCTAAGCGCAGCAAGCACATAGCCTGGCTGGTGACAGTAAAAGCAGCTTAATGTCATCCATGAAATTTCAGTGTTACTCTCACTCTCAGGAGTCACCCCTGAATTCACAGAGGCACACGGACAAGGCCACACTGATCTCTGCTGCTGCTAACTGGCGTATTGGGACAGCAAACCACCACGTCTACAGACTCACCACAGCACGGTCACACACTTACCCACTTGTTTACTGTGGACTTTGTTGTTGCAACCCAGACTGCAGGAGGGGGATCTGCTGATCTGTCAAGCTCCATCTGAAAGCCAAACACAAAGTCTTCTTTGCCAAGAGCTCATGCCTCTGCTGTTATCCCAGAGACGAGCTATTAGCCTGGTGACACACCAGGAGTACCAACCAACTCCTCAGTCAACAACTATACAGCGCCTGCACAGGCTTCTAGCAGTGAGCTACAGACGCACAGGGAAGGGGGTCTCCACCAAAGGAGTTCAGTCTGGTAACAAGAGTCTCCTAAGACGTATGTTATGTTATGGCAGGCAAGTATCCCTCACACCAGTGAGCTACATACAGCTGTTCACTCATGCCTGTGCACATGTGCACAGTTATATATTCTTAGAATCTCACTACATCAGCTAGGCTGGTTTTCAACTCAGAAGTCTCCTCAACAGCTGGTATACAGACAGGTACCACTGTGGACAGGCTCAAGATTTCAATTTAGATTAACTGTTGTAACCTAAGTGGACATACTCAAAAGGATGAGGGCTTTCTGGAGCAAAAGCAACACTGTTTCTGCTATTCCAGTTTTTATATTGTACACACACACAACAAATGTGAAATTAGCCCTCGCCCAGAGAGGGGCTCACTGGGATCCCATCAGCACATGCGCTCTGGTCCTTTCAGAATATCGTACATGTAAGATGTCTATTTATGCTCAACAGAACCACTCTTCTTCCTATAGCAGGAGACTGTAGCTGGAGGGGCAGGAAACATTTCTACTCAATGTGTGCCACCTTCTTCAGTCTGCCGTCCCCAGCACCTGCAGTGCTCACAGGGAAGAGTCTCTTTCATGCTTGCTACCTCTACAACCTTAATGCTCTGCTTCCCCAGAGGATGGTTTGCTGGCCAACCATGATCATGTCTCCTGCCCACTCCAGAGCCTTGTGAGCAGGGCTGCTGGGAGGCAGTGTGTGCAGTCTGAAGAGGGCTCTCATCCTGCATGACTCTTCCCCTCCTCACTGCAGAGGCTGGAACCTTGTCGTCCGGACCTCTTTTTCTGTCTGCTCATGTCCCTCCCCTTACGGAGGGCAGGAGAACTCAGCAGCATGGCTCACATGGTGTCACCAGGATTTAGTTAACAGCAGGAAGCCATCCATCCGTGTGCCAGGGAAGTGCCCCCAAGTCACAGCTTGCCTCCTTGCTGGCCTGAGGGTCTACACTGAGACACTTTCCTACCCTGTTGAGGATGGAGGGTCTTCCCACCCCCATATCTAGTCAGTGTGTAGTGTAGATTCTGCCACACAGGCCTAACCAAGCTCACAACCTCAGCTGGAAATCTGGAAAAGTCAACACACCTTGAGAACTGGTGCCTTTTCTTCACAGATCAGCACCCGAATGTCAGGGTTTCTTAGGTCTGTGCAGTAGATCTTCCTGTCCCGTCCTCCAGAATACACATGTGTGAAGGCATCGTTGACCTGGAGGGCCCAAACGCCTTCATCGTGTACTCGGTACGTTGCTATACATCTCTGCTGGCCAAGGGACCACAGGCGAATTGTCCCGTCAGAACTCCCAGAGAGGCACTGTGAACAGAGGAAACAAGTTGAGGGTGCTCCCAGGAGCATGCCAGTCTGAAATGACCACAGGCAGCGTGCCTGCTTCATCAGGGATGCCTGAGGGAACCTGCCCTTGTCCTCTCTATCCAGCGCCTGCTGATTCTGTAAACCCTAAGGTGAGCTGTGTTTGGATGCTCAGCTACTGAGGCAGACAGAGTTGGACACAGCAGCTGAAGGCAAGGGGGTGGTGATCTCAGCACAACACCATTCCTGGGAATTTATTGAAAATGTAGACTCTCAGGTCCCATCCAGACCAAGGAGGCAGGGCACAGCAGGTCACCAACAGATGCCCAGCAGGTTTCCCGGGTAACTCCCATGCTCTACGGCTGATGGCACTGCTCTGGCCAGAGAGCCTTTTTGGGATCCTGTGTCACAGTTCTCTTTCACCTTCTTGCTCACGGCTTTGGATTTCTTGTGGCTCAGGTCTTTGGCTCAAACAGGAACCAGAAGCAAGGTCTAGCCAAGGACTCTACTGACTCCTGTGATTCTGAACGATTCTCACATGAGTTGTGAGTCAACATTACTAGTTCTGAACATTCTCAAAGTCCAGGAGAATCAACTACAGACAAGCTGGAGGCACAGATTAGGGATGAGTACACTGAGTTAGACAGAAACAGGCTGACTGAGTCACCCCACAGCCATACTAGGCATGCTCAGTATTCCTAACTGGTTGCTGTGACAACTTGTAGAAAGCATAAAAGCTTCATTTCCCTGGGAAAGGACAAAGCAACTGCTGGTGCTGGAGGATGTGACTAAGCAATAGCTACAGAGGAGCGCAGCTGTGGCCCAGACTTGGTGGTTCTTAAATAGATGGGTGGGTTAGATTGTTAACGTTACTGCTCTACCTCTTGACTTCAGGAGCCTGCGAGACTGTGGGCAGGTGAATCACATGAACACTGAGTAGCAGACTTCCTCACCAGCTGCCAGGAGCACCAGAAACTTAGTCACCTCTTCCAACGAGTTCACAAGGGGATGACTGGTCCAACCTGGGTATGGGAGGACTCAGACATTCTTTGGGATAGGGCTGAGGAGATTCTGCTCCCTAGGGCAGAAGATGCTACTCTGATGCAGCCACTCTCTCAGGAAAGCTCCAATCCCTCAGATCCTAGAACATATGCCCAAAGACAGCAAGGTCTGGCAAAGACGGTGCTCTGGAAGTCCAGAGCAAGCTGAAGACTTGCAACAGTTAGTTACCAGATGCAGACTGCATGCTGCAAGCAGAGGAGAAAGAACAGAGATTGGGTCACATGAACACACAACACAGAACAATCTCAACAGCAGCCAGCACTCTGCGGCTACAAGGTGAGCAAGAAACAAGAAAAACACAAACTGCTAGTCACTGACACCCAGCACGAGGCAGGGCTCAAGGATGCCCAGTACTGTAAACACCCTCCTACTCAAGGTCCCTGGTGACACTCCCTGTCCTATAGGAGCTGGCAGGACCAATAAACAGCTCCCGCCCTCCATTTTTACCTTCTTCCTTCCACTGGATAAGAATGTGAGATATCCAACAAGAAATTATTTCAGACAAATGCAACATTCTGCTAAACCAGATGAACCCTGACCAGACATTCCTGCCTCCCATGACAGCAGTAGGAGATGCCTATGTGTCAGGGACCTGGCTACCATTGGAAAAGTTGCCTAATATGATCCCAGACCCCTAAGTTAGGTTTGAAACTTGAATTACCAGAAAAATTCTGTGGCAGACCTACCCTAAGAACGAACTGGTAGCTTTTAGAACCGAGCCCCACTAACATTACTGGTTAATAGCAAATATAGCTGACTTTAAGGGATCTCCATCCGACAGTTAAACCACCCCACCCCATACAGAAGTACATTATATGTTACAAAGAGGAAATAGGACCCAGACTGCAGTGGCCAGGAAGAGCTTTAGGCCTTCTAGCCACTGCTAGAGACTTAAACCTATAGACAACACACAAACAACAAGGCAACTGCCCAAGCCAGACAACCATGAGAACCTCACTAACAGGCAGGCCAAGGCTTTGACAGCAAGGCTTCCTCCTGCCTACAAGGTCAGCACTTCAGCTTCAGCCTCCATGCAGTTACAGCTACATTAGGACTGTACTTGATAGCTTTCAACTTAGCTTTTTATTTTGTAAAGATTTACTGTGTGAGTATATGCCATTGGTGTGCAGTGCCCACGGAAGCCAGAAGAGGGAACCAGATCCACCCAGGGGCCCCCCCCCCCAATTACAGAAGGCTGTGAACCGTTGGACCTGTGTAATGGGAATAGAACTCCAGTTCTCTGCAAGAGCAACAAGTACTCTAACCACTGAGCCACAATTTAATATTCTAAAGACTGAAAATTACTATAAAAATTACACATGCAGATTATGGTTCACGTCAGCCTCTCCAGTCACGAAAACGGGAACTTCCGCTAGGGCCATCAGCTGGGCCTGAAAGCGCGCCTACCTGTGTGCCGTCCCTGTTCAGCAGCAGCGCCTTCACGTTGTCTGTGTGCCCTTTCAGCTTCATGAGCTTTGCGCAGGTTCTTGGATCCCACACTCTTAGAACCTGCCAACCCCGGGGTTTAGAGCATTATACAAACTGAACACACTCACAACCAGCTTTTGAAAGCAGTTGACTTTCATATCAAATGTCAACTATTAAATTCTAAGGAGGAAACACTATTGCAGCCAATGTATGCCGTCCAAGGCTGCTAAGCTTAAGGATACTTTTCTAAGGCCAAAAATCCCCCCGCCCTGCCACGTATAGCAGCTGCACAGTTACACTCAGAGGTATACAAATAACGCTTCTTTTATCATCCACTGGACAAAATCCCTGTCTTTATTATTTTATTCTTTAGCTTCTTTTGAGACAGGAATGGGTTGTGCTATCTAGGCTGGTTGTGAATTTCTGGACTCAAACAATCTTCCTGCCTCAGCCTCCTGAGTGCTGGGACTGCCGCATGCTACCTCGCTGAGCTCTGGGCATGTTTTTAAGGACTCCATTTTCTTAGGTTCAGAGACACTGGCCAGGCCATGCTTACCTTCTCAGTGGACCCTGATACAATGATTGTTCCCAGTTGGTTCATGGCCAGGCTATAAATGGAATCTTTGTTCCCACTTAAAGAAGAAGCTATTGAGGATAAAAGGAGTTCAATATTAACAAAGTGACCAGGTAGTCAGCAACTTGTCAGCAAAGATCGCAAGCTTACACATTTGACCTAGAAACTTGACAAACACTTTAAGGACATGAAATCTATCTATACTAGAGATAATTCCAAATAACAGTATCGTCATCAACACTTGTTTTTCTGGATTTGTGTATGTGTAAGTGTTCAATATCTGTCAAGTGGAACTGTGCTGCCACTTAAAACTGACCCACATAAAAGCAGTGTATTTCCAAAGATGAGCCTGATTCATTCTAAAGCCACTGCTATTCAAAAAAGTGCAAAATGAAAACACCATTTCATACACAAATCAGATTAAAAAAAACAAAAACCCAAACCCCCCAAATCCAAAGCAACACTTTTAGCCAGAATCATGTCCATACCCTTTGATTTGGAAGCCAAAGTGGAGGGTTTCCATGGTAACTGGTTCACAAATACACACCCAGTGAGTGACACATGACAGGTTTAGAAAATGCCTGCTTGTAAGCATTCCACAAAGGTAACTATGATTAGCATGGGTCTTACACACATAAACCTGGTGACAGCCTCCCTTACAATCTAAGTAAACCCAGCTATGGCAGAATCTGTGCTCACTAAGGCCAAGTTTCTGTTTGTGTACCTTAGAGGCAGGCCTTACAAAGAGAGGCCTAGGACAGACCAGGCAGGCCTACCTGCTGGATCCCTGAAAAACAAATAAAACCACCAAACAAAAAACCCCAAGGGAACAAGGGACAGAGCCTCTCTAGATCCATACTACTTCCGGGAAAACCAACACTGAACAATTTGTAAACGTAGTCTCTCTAGCAGCTTTCCAGCAGACTTGGTGACGCTGTAACTATCTCAGCCAAGCCACGGGAGCCCTGGAGTCACACAAGCTGAGACCATACAGCGCAGAAACCTCACTGTCCGAGTCTGTGTCTTCAACACCTCCTCTGGTCTAGGTTAGGCCAAACTCTGCTCCCATAAGAAGTCCTCAGACATTCAGTCTGGAGGCTTCCATAGGCTGGGCTATTGTAGTAAGCTGTGTAAGCCTGACCTGGAAGTTTATCAAACAGCCACACCGAGCACCTCTACATCCCTCTAGAAGCGCCTGAGCTTTACTGGGCTTTTCCAGAACTGCTGGATTCTTTCAGGCTGCTCTGAACAGACTTCTCAACTGGTACTGGGAACATTCTCTCCCCGGGTATTTCTCATCTTGGCTATGAAAAGCTCACGAATACAGTAAGACTCTGAAGTCAGAAAAGAGCCTGCATGGCCATCTATCACCTTCTAGAGAACACTGGCTGTGTGGTCTGAGGCAGCAACACTATGGGAGGTACACGGTGTGAGAAGACAGAGTCCTTTGCCTGCAGGGACTTACACTATAGCTATGTAGCTAAGAAATACACAAGGAATAGTCAGGTTCCATCTGGAGAAGCTACTAAGTCTACAGTGCAGAGATGGGCTATCTCCTAGTTCAATCACAATCCAGGGGCTAGAAGCTGTATGCAGAGGTACTCTCAAAACATGAGCCACCGTCTTGACGCAAATGTATAAAAGATGTTGTATAACATTTTTTATATCAACTTAGATCACTTTCAAAAATGTTTTTCAAACACCTTACTTGTGACAGTGTTATTTGAGGCAGTCAATGCTGTCAGAGTATTCACATCCCAAAGGAATATTTGTCTGTCCAACCCAGCCGATGCTACCAGCTCTTTATCCTTGGCATATGCTAAGGCCTTTACATAGTCCTATAACAGAACAGACACACTATGATCTATGCTGTAAGAACACGAGTTCCAACAAAAAACTGAGCTCCCAACACGACAGGAAGACTGAACCGTGGACATTACCTTGTGTGTTCTGAGTGTGGACATGCAGAATCCTTTGTGTGCATTCCACACTTTGACCGTCGTGTCAGAGGAGGCAGATATTACTAGAAGACACAGAGGCGAGTAAAGACTTACTAGAGGGCCTTGAGCTTTAGGCCACTTAACAGCAAGTGATGCTACCACAAACACCTGCTCATACATGCACGCTTAAAAGCTCTTTTCATATGTAAATGTACACACACACACACACACACAGAGTATTGGTTTTAATTATATAGAACAAACTGTTCTAATTTCCCAGGTATAAGTAATTAATTTAATTGAGAATTATTCAGACTGTAAAACCAAGAAATGGAACTCAAGAAAATAACAAAAATGTAATACTAAGGCTAAAAAGATTATATCAGTATAGAGTTCTATTTATCTACAGTTCAAATTTGTGTCAAACAGATTGTGTGCTCATGCTGAATGGCTAAAAGGAAGGTTTGGAATGGCACAAGAGGGCATCTGGTAATCCTGTTATATTTTACTGTGGTTTCAATGTGTGTGCACTTTTCTGCATGTATGTTGGCTTCAATGAAAAGTCTTACAGGGGCTGGGGCATGGCTCACCAAGTAAGCGCCTCCTGTGTAGGCATTAGGTACTGCCAACACCCACATAAAAAACTGGGTGTGGAAGCACACACCTGAACCTCCTATAACTTCAATGCTGGAGAGGAAAGAGGGGTGAAAGTAGCAGATTCCAGGAGCTCAGGAGTTAGCTAATCTAGCAATCAGCGCACTCTAAGATCAGTGAGAGATGCTGTCTCAAACACTATAGTGTAGCATCATGGAAGACGACACCTGATACCCATCTCTGGTGTCCACATGCTTCCAAACCTGCACACACACAGACTTACATGTTTTCCCATTGCAGCAGAGCACGACATCATTCACCCAGTCTGTGTGGTGCTCCATGGATGCTATGTATGGATCTTGCTGAAATGAAAAACCACACAGTTTACAACAGAGAGCACAAACACGACAAAGTAGAATCATGCTCAGATTCTTCAGTTAATGTGATACATTACCATACTTAAATTAACTAGAGTGACACTTCCCTAAACAGGGGGTGCTTCCAGAGACCTGATGATTTAAGCAAGCTTGTTTCAGGACATTTACCATAATAAAAGCCTAGGTTCCCAAGGTTAAGTTTTATACCTTGTGGTGGCAAAATTGACAGTTCTGGGCTAGGCATGGTACAGGGCACAGAGTGCAGGGGGACAGGGAGGGATTTCTTACACCAGCACACCTGTGGTTCTGGAGTCTGGCCTAAGAACAAAAGGAGACTAGCTTCCTCCTGTGGCTTGTAATCCCATCGGATGAGTCCCTATACTGTCTGTCCTTCAGAGAAGGAGACAAGGTGCGAGGGCACCGGCACCCCAATCCAGTTGCCAGACTCCTATCCCCTGGCTTTTACCAGAGCCTTTTACACACAATATCAAGTTAGGTCCCACACCAACACAAGCAAGTTTACACACTTCAGGGGCAAGGGAATAGCTCTTTTGCATATCTAAGAACTTGTCATAAACACCAGGAAAAAGACGTTTTGAGTGTAGGCCAGACTGCCAGATTATGGGTAAACTGCATTTTCCCTTAATTTGTTCAAAATACTGGAAATTCTCAAAAAGTTAACATTCTAATTCAAAGAGTTCCTAGAGCACAGCAAAGGCAGCACACTCTTCTTATTCTCATGCCTTTGACACCGTCCTCATCTCCTTAAGAACTCAGCCTGCTGGGCTGGAGAGATGGCTCAGAGGTTAAGAGCACTGACTGCTCTTCCAGAGGTCCTGAGTTCAATTCCCAGCAACCACATGGTGGATCACAACCATCTGTAATGAGATCTGGTGCCCTCTTCTGGAGTGTGGGCATACATGGAGGCTGAATACTGTGTACATAATAAATAAATAAATCTTAAAAAAAAAAAAAGAATTCAGCCTGCTAGACTGAGTCTACTGCAAGAAACCTTATCTGGCAGCTGTGAACTCCCTGACTGGCACTGACTGCAGTGAATACCGGTTTGAAGAGCTGGCTAAAAAGACACAAACTTAAAGAAAAATTCAGGTGCTGGCACCAGGGGTCTGTGATTAGGCTGAGTTCCCAGTTACTGCCTTAAGAGGGACTTTCAGGACTTCAGACCTCGGTGAGTACAAGGGCCAGACACACAGCTGAGAGTTGTGTAAATGCTCCTTTTCCTCCCCAGTGCCATTCTCTGTATCATTCACAAAGCAACACTCAAACAAACCCTGAGTTTGCTCCATTTCGACTGCAGACCCCCTTTGCATGTCAATATATTTGAAAAGTCTCTTGATTATGATGCTGAAAATAGAACAACAGAATGTTGAATTTTTACAAATATTTAATTTCCTTATAAAAAGTGATTAAAGTCCCTACATGTTCGTGTCTTCCTGGCTAATGGTAGTGTGAAACCATGAAGGCTGCCCTCTCCTTCTACTCCTTGGGCTTCTGCAGACGTTGCTAACTGTTTTGCAGTGCTGAGTATCAAGCCCTGGGCCTTGTGCGTGCTGGACAAGCACCCTGCCACCTGAGCTACATCCCAGCCTTGAAAGCCTCTTGTTTACACAGTGAGGGACATGTAAATGCACAGTTATCAAGAGACTTTTCAAGTTCATAATTAAACCAAAATCCTGTGGGAAGTGCTCATTCCCCACCAGCCAAATATTTCTGCTCCTTTGTGGCAGGGGACTCTTAAGGCAAAATAATTTATGGAGACCCTGTGTTAACGGAGGCATTTTCTCGCAGCCTTACAGAACTCTGTGGAAAATGTCTTCACAGAATAGATTATGAAGCTCAGTGCTCAGAGATTAAAGCCAGAGCTGAAGAAGAAGTCCACCAGTCAAAGCCACTGGTCCAAGCCGCCTCACCTTGTGCTGATTGACACTCCATATTCTGATGATGGAGTCCCGCCCTGCGGTGAAGAGCCTGTTGAGTGCTGGGTCCAGCTGCAGGGCATTAACTCCATTGCGATTGTACTTCTCCACTTCATCTCGGATAACATAGGAAACCTGGCAGACACCAAGAGAGCCAGGGCATGGTGAGGTGTAGCCTACTAGTGGCTAGTTCCAATAGCAAACTAACAGTTTTTGTCTTTATCTTACTCCACGGAGACTACAGGGCACCCCTAACCCAGCTCAGGACAAGCAGGACTGCTGCTGACACCTGGACACCTCCCCAGCCTCCTGTCTGCCTTTATCTGTCTAATCCATTCCACCAACCTTCATCCACCAGTACCCCTGAGGCAGGACAGTCAGTAAGGAAAAGGAGGAAATGTGGGAAGAGAAAGCTGCCCCCAACCTCTCCTGGTTTGCCTATCGCTGGCAGACAGATGCCAGGACAAGACCTGCAGTTCCGTTCTGAGAAGACGGCAATTGCTGGTGCACTGAAAGCTCTCTCCCAGCAGGCCCTTCTCCAGCGGCCCAGGGGAAGAGAACACCCGAGGAGCTTTCCCCAAAGCCTAGCACAGACGGAGCAGCTTCCTGCTTTTCTGGGCCAGAGATCTCCCTGCTCCTAGCTCAAAAGGCGCCACCTTGCCTCATTCACTCCGTAGTTCTGAAAAGAGTGAAAGCATACACAGCTCTGGGTGACTGGAAAGGTCTTCTTCTCTCTCACACTTGAAGTAGACAAGGAAGTTTAGATACGAGGGCTGACTGAGAATTGGCTGGCACATGCAAGGCACTGGGTTCTGCCTCAAGCATGACAAAGAAAGAAAAAACACGGAGGCAGAGACAGGCAGATCTTTGAGATCAAGGCCAGCCTGGTCTACAGAGTGAGTTCCCGGACAGCCAGAGATACACAGAGAAACCCTGTCTCAAAATAAAAAATAAAGAAAAAAGAAAACCAAAGGTAGATGTCCGTGCACAAAGCCTCCTTTAACTCCTCCAGCACAACTGTTCCCGAGCCCATGCCTTCAGTCTCCTTCAAAGCGGCCTCATTGTGTTCTATCCTGGACACCTTACTGTAAACTCCACCTGTGCCATCCCTGCGCTCTACTTGCTACAGGAACTAGGCTGAAATTTTAAAATCATACACACACAGAGACAGATGGGGCCACGGGGACATCCTTGAAACAAGAGTGCCAAGAATGCCCCCTTTCTATATAATTATGGGCTATCTCTCAGCGATTCCTTAGTTCCCGATCTTGCTGAGGGCCTCCACTGTCAGACCCGGGCATCTGTATCACAATACGGTTCTATGCCTGTAGCTCCCCTGTCACTACAGGAGTGGCCGGGAACTGGGCTGAGAGATTTAAACATACACAGACACACAGAGAGATGGAGACATGGGTCACTCTTGATACATGATTGCCACAATTATTGTGCTCAGGCAGTTGCAGACCCACCAGCCTGCCATCAAGGTCTTATGCTCAGATCAGCAGTAAAGTTGTTTTGCTCAGTTCACTCCAGCAGGTGAGGGTCTGAGGCAGGCAAAGAAAATCAAGGGGCTAGGGACCTATAGCTCTCAACACCTCACCCTACCCCAGGCCATCCCCTAAGCTTCTAGGATCTTCTTGTGCTATCACATTTCTGGATTTTGTCCTTTGACCATCTACTGGCTTTGCTATGCATTTAGAATGCCCTTTCAATCTAGAGAGTGTGGTCCTTATGCCTGCAGACACCCTTCTGTGACTAGAGTGTGGTCATCATGCCTGAAGACACCCTTGTGTGCACAGAGTGTGGTCCTCATGCCTGCAGACACCTTATGTGAATAGAGTGTGGTCCTCATGCCTACAGACACCCTTGTGTGCAGAGTGTGGTCCTCACGCCTGTAGACACCCTTGTGTGAATAGTGTGCAATCCTCACGCCTGCAGATGCCCTTGTGTGGATACTGCTGTGCCTGCTTTCTTTGTTCCTTCTTGTCTACTGGTGGACAATGGAACTTTCTTACTGATCCCTGTCTTTAACATAATCTGGATCATCTTTTCCCGTTTACTCTTGAAAAGACCTCCTTTATGATTTATGACCCTATTTTTTTCTTTTGTTGAGACAGGATTTCATCATATAGCCCAGGCTTGCCTGGAACTTTCTATACAGCCCAGGATGGCCTTGAACCCCCAATCAATCCTCCTGCCTCAGCTTCTCAAGTGCTAGTACTGTTAAGTGCTACCATACCCAGCTTCTACCATTGCATTTTTCCAACTGTAGTATGATGAAAAATAGAAACAGTGTCTTTAATAATGAAATGGTTACACTGCCATATCCTGGGCTGGCAAGATGGCTCATCAGGTAAAGGTGCTGGCCACACAAGCCTGGCAACCTGAGTCTGACCCTCGGGAGCCATGTCAAGGTGGAAGGAGAGAACTGACTCCACAAAGCTGTCCTCTGACCTCCACATGTGCCATGGCATGTGACCCCTTCCAGCACGGTAATAATACCAAGTATTTAAAAACTGACTCTACAGACACTCTATGCAGTCATTAAAGGAGAAGGAGAATTTATAAAGATTTTTTCCTTTTTGGTTTTGGTTTTCTCAAGACAGGGTGTCTTTGTGTAGCCCTGGCTGTCCTGGAACTCACTCTGTAGACCAGACTGGCCTAGAACTCAGAGATCCGCCTGCCTCTGCCTCCCAAGGTATGAGTTCTTAAGACATTTTACATTAAAGTCCAGCAGTGACAACCTGCCTTCAAAACTGTGCCTTCAGAAGAGAAGAGTAAACACAAGGGCCTGATGGAGAACCCCAGTTCCTACCGTGAGATGTTCGGGACAATATCAAACCCCCAAGGTCTTTAGCCATGCACAAATGCTAGTCTTATGTGCTGGCCTCCATTATTGTCTACCAGAGAAGCAAGACCACAGCAGCGGGATTCTCAGGAGAAGCCAGGCCTGAATCAAGACAAGTGGAATCACCCCAATCAACTATAGCTATTAAGGAAAAAAAAAAAGTCTAGATACAGAAAGACAGAAAAACATAGAACTTAATTCATGATTTTTAAAATTTTAATTATGGGCATATGCATGCATTCTGTGCATGTGTGAGTGCATTGTCCATGGAGAGCAGAAGAGGGTGCTGGGAGCTGAAGTTACAGGTGGCTGTGAACTGCATGGCATGGGTGTAGGAACTAAAGTGGTGTCTCTGCAAGAGCAGGATGTGCTTAGCCACTGAGCTACCTGCCCAGGCCTGACATCTAATACTCTCAACAACTACTAAGTAATTAGCACCAGCTGCCAGGTACAATTTAAATGTGAAGGATTCTGGGGAGAGCACAGAAGTCCTCCTGGTATGGTGTTCTAAGGGAAGAGCTTAACTGGAAGTAATAGAAGGCCAAGAGAGGCAGACCTGGGCAAACCTTAGCAGGCAACAGTGACTTCACTATAATGTTATTGTGACAACCGAAGGCAGAGATGAGAAGTCATACCTGACTATTCTCATCTGCCCGCAAAATCAGACAGGCACAATGTGAGCTTTGTAAGGCAACAACCGTTCCTCTGTCTAGTTCCATAATGACTTTCTATTTGTAACTCTATTTCAGCTGACTTTTAAAAAGTATTTTAGGGCTGGAGAAATGGCTCAGTGAGTAAGTGGCTTCACTTGCCACAAAAGCATAAGAATGCAGTGGAATACCCAGAAACCATGCAACACTAGACTGAGTAGCACACATCTGGAATCCCAGTGCTTATATAGTACCATGGGAGGTGGAGACAGGAGGGGACCAGGACACTCATGGCCAGCTAGATAGCATGTGCATTGGTGAACGACTGTCACAAACAAGGTGGAAAGTGAGTATGGATACCAAAGGTTATTCTGAGCTCACATGTGTGCTATGGCACACCCACGTCTACAGTCACATACACATACATACATACATACACACACACACACACACACACACACACACACACACACACACACACAGAGTCTCTAGTTTGCCTTCTTCTAGACCAGGGCTTAGCAACAAGTAACTGACAGACAAATCCAGCCTCAACCTTCTTTCTGTGAGCTAGGCTTGCTGGAGTCCAGTCATTCCTGTTCATTACAGACTCTCCATGGCTGGCTGAGACCTGTAAGGGGAGATCCTGTACTTGTTGAGTACTCTTTCTGGGTCCTTCTTCACGGACTACCCTATAACATTATAATGACAAGGCCTGTCTGTAACTTGACTTTAGAATTCAAGGTACTGTCTTCTCATCCAAGACACAGTCAAGAGGCAAAATACATTAATTTTTCCACTTTTCCCAAGATGGAAGTTTTTTTTTTTTATAATTTACAAGCATAAACATAAAAAACACATGTAAAGTGACTGAAAACAGCCGAGTGGTGATGCCTGCAATCTTAGTAAGAGGCCGAGACAGGAAGACCACCAGCTGGCGTGCAGGCAAGACTACACCGTGGGGCCTTGTCTCCCAACAAAACGAAGCCCAAAACAAAAACCCGAAAACACACAGCAGCAACAACAAAAATACTGAAGTATATACGGGGGGGGGGGGCCATATATTTTTTTTAAAAAGATTTATTTTATGTGTATGTGCCTTGAGTGTTTGCACATATGTGTTCCACATGTGTGGTGCAGAGGATGTAACAGGGAATCAAATTCTTAGAGCTGGAGTTACAGATGGTTGGGAGCCACCCTGTGGATGCCAGGAATTAAATACAGGTCCTCTACAAGCACAGTCGGTGCTCTTAACTGGTGAGTCATCTCTGCTGCCCCAGAGGTGCATATCTTTACAGAAAATGTACCCCATGTCCTTTTGACCCAGACCACAGAATATCACTCTAGGGAGCAGCTCTGGCACTCTAGATATTTTGCTTGAGACAGGGTTTCTCTGTGTAGCCCTGGCCATTTTGGAACTCACTTTGTAGACCAGGCTGGCCTTGAACTCAGAGATCTGCCTGCTGAGCCCTGGGACTAACGGCATGCGCCACCACACTGTCCAGTGTCTTGTCCAGCCACTATCTTACTTTTCAGAAATGGGAACATATTGTGTTGACTTGCTGCTCTTATTTCAGGATACCTTCCTGTTTTGATTATCTGGACCTAGCATACCGAGTGTGTGTGTGCGTGTGTGTGTGTGAATGCACATGGAGGGCTGAGGTCAAGCATCAGCGCCTTCTGTTTTATTACTTCCATTTTATTTTATCTGAGCATAGTCTCTCACAGACTCTGGACTTTATCAATGGCCAGCAAGCTCCAGTGCTCTTCTTGTCTCTGCCTTCTCCATACTAAGATTTTGGCACATGCCACCACAGCTGGCTTTTTTTTTTTTTTTTGGTGGGAACTGATGATCTGAACATAGACCCTCATGTGGCACGCACTTTACAAACAACAGAACCTTCCCAGCCTCTAGTTTACTTTTTGATAATAGCAAAGTAACTCACTACAAGAATATATCATATTTTGTTTGACAACTATATACATTGAGATTTCCAAACACGTTTGTTTAGTTTTCCACAATAACAAGATTCCTAAAAAATAATCTTAGATAAGTAGAGAAAGATTACAGACACATGGCATGGGATGTCCTGTATATGTGTTGCTTTATTGGTTGATGAATAAAGCTGTTTCAACCAATGGCTGAGCAGAGCAAAGCAAGGTGGGAAATCTGAACAGAGATATATAAAGATAGTAGGCAGAGTTAAAGAGAAGCCATGTAGCTGCCAAAGAAGAAAGATGCCAGCCAAAACCTTACCCGGTAAGCCACAGCTGCACAGCAAAACACAGATTAAGAGAAATGGGTTAATTCAAGATGTAAGGGCTAGCTAGAAATATGCCTGAGTCACTGGCCTAACAGTGTTGTAATTAATATAGTTTCTGTGCGATTATTCGGGTCTGAGTGGCTGGGAACCAACAAGCGGTCTCCGCCAACAGATACATATATGTAAATTTTGTAGAATATTTTTTTTTACAGAGATGGTCTCACAAAGTAGCCTTAGGTACCTAGAATGTGGTATATAGATCAGGCCTGCCTCTGCTTCCTGAGGGCAGGGATGAAGGGGTGTGCCACCAGGAAAGGACAGAACACATTTTTTACAGTAAGGCACTGTGAACTAAAGGGGCTGCTTTTAGGTTTTGTCAAGGCAAGAGACAAAGAGCAGTAAGTGCTATGGCTCTGTTTAAAGTAAAATGTCACATATGTCAGGTAGCAAACTGGGAAAGCACAGGCATGGCTCTCAAGCAGTGTCAACTCTGCCCTTACGGGAAACTTTTGACTGGAGAGGATAAGTCCATCCAGTGGGCAGGAGTCAGGGGATCCTAAACAGTTTACAGGACAGGACCCTTAGCTCCCCCAGGGAAGACTGAGCAGGCTGAGAAGCCCTAGGGTGACACAGGACAACGCACACAGCTGCTGCCTTGAGATAGTAGAGGACAGGCAGAGTTTGTAGTCTGGTGCTCTCTGTGGGCTCTTCTGGCAGTGGGCACACTTCTCTACACAATGAGATGAAATCACCTCTGTGGCTTCTAGCACTGCTCCTGTACCTACCGGACAAATTCTTAACTTTTTCTTCAGCAGGCTAATTTCACTCTTGTTAGGAAATAGTGTCTAGTTATAATTTGCTTGTTGCTGAACACCACACTCTAGCTTCATTCTGAGTGTTTAAGAGCAGAATCATCTCCTCCCTCATCCTCTCTGCACCAACCACCACCATCTCCTCCCTCACCCTCTCTGCACCAACCACCATCTCCCCCCTCTCACTGCATGTATTGGCCTACACCCAGCCCAGCTAAACTTCTGCTTTGTTTTTGCATCTGCTGTGTTTCATTTCTGTCTTCATTCTCCTTGATCCCTATTGTCTTTTTTTTTAGATGCTAGGGACTGAACTCCAGGGCCTTGCGTAAGGCAGATGAGTGCTCTACACTGAGGTATATTCATAGCTTTGTCTTTTAATGTTTTAAAGCATGTATATATGTAGGACGGTGGTGCCACAAAGCACCTTTGGAGATCAGAGGATAACATGGTCAGTTCTCACATTCTACCATGTGAGTCCCAGGAATCAAATTCAAGTCTTCAGGCTTGGCAGCATGCACCTTTCTTCCTCAAGCCACCTCAGCATCCCTTGTCTTTTAAACCTTTGCCCCCAAACTGAGAGAACTGATAATCCTTACTCTATTGAGAACCACCATCCTAGCGTGCAGAACATGACTAAGTTACAGCTTAGTTGGAAACAGCATTCTCACCACCTGGCCTGGAAGCTGGGGTTACTGCAATCCCATCACGAATGCCCTTTAAAAGAAAAACAACACCTATTCAGGGAAAGCTAAGGGATATTAAATTGCTCTAATTTCACTTATTCTTTAATTTTTTTATTATTTGTGTGTGTGTGTGGGTGAACAGCACATGTAGACACATGTATGTACATGAGTGTGGAGGTCCGAGCTTGACTTGGGGACAGAACTTTTTAAGTGGGGACAGAAATTTAAATTACGTTTGTGCCCCAGGTCATTTACCAGACTGAGCCATCTCTTCAGCCCAATTGCAATCACTGTGACAACCACCTACTGAATACATAGGAACACTGAACTGGCCAGTGAGATCAGGAATCTAAAGAGGATATTTATTCAGAAAACTTCACAGGTCTAGAACCTTGGGGTTACTGTCCCTTGGTCCCCTCTTCTGTGGAGTGTTAGTGACTGTGGAACCCTTTCAATCTCTGTCCCTTTTTGGGCCAATCTATGTACTTGTCTGATGACACAATGCACCTTTCCAAGCCACACACAATCTACCTGCAGGCAAACATCTGTAACAGGACTTTAAAATAAATTCCTCCATCTTTAAGATAAAAAGGTAGCAGGTAACATTTTTTTTTTGAGCCAGACTGATCTGTAGCTCAGACTGCTCTCAAACTTGTTAGGTACCAGAGAATGACCTTGAATTTCTGACCCTCTTGCCCTCAACACCAAGCCCCTTAACCCGTGTTAGGTGCTAAGAGTACAGGCAGCAGGCAGGTACCACCGGGCCTGGTTTTCTCCCGGTGCAGGGGGGCTGACCTTGCTCAGGACAGGAAGTACTGTCAAATGAGCTCCAGGACCCAGCCCCAAAGACAGCAAGCAGAACTCAAACGTACACCACACCAAAGCGATTTAGGGAAACCCACAACACCCACGCTGTGGGTTAACGAACTCATCGCCCGCTATGCCGACGCTACGGAGACAGGGACTGGAAGACGCAAAGGGAGGACCGTGAAGGGGGAGGTGAACCCCACTGCAAAGGAGGGGAAACTGTCATTTCCTCCAGCGCACGCTCCCACGTGCGGCCCGGTCCCGCCACGCCCCCGCAAGGCCCCTCGCTGTCGGGGCTCACCCACC